TATTCATGTTCAGTATTTGTTCAAATTTTATGAAGTTGGACTGATTGCCATAACATTATAACAATACTGTATAATTTGAATTGCAACAATTATCGGATAAAATGGCACCTTGGTATCAAAACGATTTTATCAGAACAACATTTAAGAATGACGTTTACCCAGCCATAACGATAAACTCCATTTTTTGCATTAAAAGCAAAACTGTTTGTATTCGAGAATTGGGGAAACTTGTTTGTATCAGTTACTGATTTTGCAAGGCTTAAATTTAAATTGTTCACCTCCGCNTCAGTCTATTGACACCTCTCACTATGTACACGTTCAAGTAATAAATCCATTACTATGTTCCATACAAGTGAATAGCGCTTTTCACGTGAACTGATTGGCTAACTTGGCGGTGATTATCAAAGCACTATATATTCTCCCCCAAGCAGAGATTCTGAAACAGATTAATCTTTTAGTCCGCTAGTTATTCAGCTTGTGTGGTATAAACTAAAACAATTATTCGCCCAATTGGAGGTAAATAGTGGTCGATAATTGCCTCGGGGCTAGGTAAATATCCATCACTATTCACCTCCACTTTGGTGCGTAATTAATAACAATAAAATCATCAAGGATTTGTATGACAGTAAGGCAAACGTGTCCATTATAAGATAAAAATCTTCGCTGAACAAATGTGTGCGACATTTTTTCGTTTTTCAAACTCGAATAGCGAGTAGAAGTCATTCAGTATTGCAATCATCTCCGCTCTTGTTACTGAATTCAATATAAGGACAGTAAAGGATGTCAGTCTAATATTAATTAAAACCTCCCGAAGTTGGTGTTTGCTTTTCTTCCGGAGGACCACTTATGCGTTTCATTTTCCTCTTGAAATCGAGTGCAAGAGTTTTGTTCGCAAGAGCTAGTTTCTAAAGAAGAAAACACAAGAGAATTGACGCTCAGAATTGTTATGGGTCTAAAGAGCCCCTCTCCGGATGTGGTTGGTAAGCCCAGAAGACAACAAATGGCGCGTGAAACAAACACTCCATGCATTCTTTTCTTCTTTTTAATTTTATTGGCTGAAGGCCTACCACGTGACCTGCAAATAACTACCCACAAATAATGATCTGCTCATGCGTAGTGCCGTCTAAATGTGATTTAGCAGCCATGCAGCCTTGCGTCTCTTCTCGGGGTTTGAAAAGGTGGTCAAACCAGTCTTTCGTTTCTGATACATTTAACAATTTTTGCGACGAGCGCGCGTTGGATATGAGATGAGGCGTGTGGTGCCGAGTTGAAAATAATGTCAGCTATACTAATCATTTCGTATACCATACCATATTTGCATAGTATGGTATAGTTGCTCTTAATTTATTATACTACTGTGGCTAAGCTAATGAAAACACTTCAACTGCTTCATCCAATGATCCAGGTATTTGTAATGTAAAGTACAGCCGCGTTTCTTTGAATGCAATAAACATTTTAATGATGAGTTTTCGGCTGAGCTTCAGCATCGACATGCTTGAAACAAGTACTAGTAGGCGTGAAATACTCTTCTCAGACTCATTAATAATTCATCAAGTTAAAACAAAGAAAATCACAACCGTGAAGGAGGTTTGGACACCCGGTCGTTTTTTTTATTTTATTTTATTCATTTATTTATTTTCTTTGACAGGTATAGTAGTTCATACAAAACCAAATACAGGAAGGTCCAAAGTATCGAGAGTTCTTTGGATTTCATTTATCAAATAACTCCTTGCTAGGACTCCTGTAAACAAGAAACCGGCAATTGACTGATAGCAATGCAAAATCAATTCCCATGCTGTGGATACTGTGGCGTTCGCTGACCATGATCTTCGCTGTAAACTCTTTGATTCACGGTCACGTGTTGATCCAGTGGTATTTGTGGTGGTGCCTGCTCGACACGTAAAAAGCAACTGCAGCAGAGCATGCGCGATAAAAATGTGACGTACCTACGACGATATTGTTTGTTCATAACTCCATAAACAACTGGGTTTATGCAGCTATGCAGCCTTGTTAGTATGTCAGAAGCAAACCAAAGTTCATGGGAGGAAATATTTCTGAAATCTAACAACATCCAAGCCACTTGAGTGGGCAATAAAAGAACCAAAAACAATAAAACGATAACTGCAACAGTCTTGAGTATTACAATGCTTTCTCTTGCGGTTTCTTCTCCAGGAGTTTCCCTTGCAGTTGCTAAACCACTGTTATTGGGCAAAACAGGTCGGCTTTTCAAAAACAGCCATATTCGTACATAGCAAATTGCTGTAATGAGTAGGGGCATTATGTATTGAATTGTCATGAGTGAGACAGTGTACGCTTGGCTGTGACCAGGCGTGGGCCAAAATTCTTCACAGCCATTTCTCGTTGGTTTATTGACCACGATAAGCGGAATAACCAGAACAAAAGCTGCCAGCCATATTAGCGACACCCATATTATTGCTCCTTTACGTTTTAACTTTGGTCTCCACGGATGAGTCACAATGTGGCATCGATGCATCGCCATGGATGTGATGGTAAAAAGTCCTACATTGTAGCCTGTTGTTACCACAATTAGATGAACTCTGCAGTTAAATATCTCGGAAGCCACATCAAACTTACCTAGAATGGAAACAGGCGAGTCAAAACACAACAAAGCCAAATCCGCCACTGCCAGACACGTCACGAATATTCCATGGACTGTCTTTCTGGCGTTTTTCGCCTGTACAATGATCAGCACAAAGATGTTTCCTACTAGTCCAACAACGAATACTGCGATTATAATAACGAGCTCAATCCACCATATGGAATTTTTCTCCATTGTTTATCGTCCTTACATCCCGTGATCTGCATCCACGAAGTCAACAGCGTCCAATTTCCCCTCCAGTCTATTCGAATCACTCTCCGAGACCATGCAGCGACATTTTCAATTTTAGATAGCACACTGTATCCTTAATGATTATATCAGCGATGTGACGGTAAATATTAAAATATTCTTACTGCTCTGAAGGGACCATTAAAAGAAGAAAAAGCATTGTGTCACTTATCTTGTTCATTTATCTTGGGAAGAAGGTAATTTTTTTTATCTTTCTCGGTGAACTTATCACGTAAACAGGAAAACGATTGTTTTACGTGTTTTGTGAATTTGTTAGCATTGTTAGAAGAGATGTTGTACCGATTGTTATGTTCTATAATATTCTCCACCTCCTCTGAGAGATATCTCTGTTACTAAATCACTGACAGTGTTCAATATCTATGCAGAATGGAATGTAAGTGGATCTCGTGAGAACATTAATGACATTTTTAAAATCAAATAAATTTATTTTACATAGAGCTCCATTGGCCGGCGAGACAGAATGAAGGAAATGCATTTACGAAATACTGATTCCAGAACGGAAGTGGCGGAGACTTTATCGACGCAGGTAAAAGGAGGATGTAAAACTTATTACTATGAATATGTTATCGTATGGTCAAAACGTTTACTCTGCTAATAATGTTATTAATAGGTTGGCATCACTGTTTCCTTGGGATTTAGATAAAGATTTTATTGGTAACACTGGTAAGAGAATGAAAATATTGACAAACAAGGGAGAAAAACGAATGTCAAGTTGCGCCATGTGAAGTTCTAATATGTAATAAATCTTAACAATTTAATCATTTTTTTCCCGTTTATTGGCCTGAACTTTGTCAAGTTGGAAGATTTAAGCCTAAAATGTTTCTTATTTTATCGGTTTTGAAAACAAGGTGTTATT